GTCCAGAATATCAGGAGAACTAACGAAAAGAAATGCAAGGGAAGGTGGCCTAGCTATACCAGATCTTAAATTGCATTATAAAGCAGCAACCATCAAAACTACTTGGTACTGGCTAAGAAATAGTGATGGATCAGTGGAATAGGTTAGGTATGCAAGACACAACAGTCAATAACTATACTAATCTACTATTTGATAAATCCAAAGACCCCAGCTTCTAGGATAAGCAATCACTATTTAACCAAAACTGCTGGGGAAACTGGAAAAAAGTATGGCAGAAACTAGGCATAGATGAACATCTTACACCCTAAACCAAGATAAAGTCAAAATGGGTACAGGATTTAGATATAAAGATTGATACTATAAGCAAACTGGAAGAGCAAGTAATGGTTTACCTGTCAGATTTATGAAGAACAGAAGAATTTATGACTAAACAAGAGATAGAAAACACTATGAAATGCAAAACTGATAATTTTGATTACATTAAATTGAAAAGCTTTTGCACAAACAAAGCCAATGCATCCAAGAGTAGGAGAGAAGCAGAAAACTGGGAGAGAATTTTTACAACCAGTGTCTCTGATAAAGGCCTCATTTCTAAAATACATAGAGAACTGAGTAAAAATTATAAGAATACCCATCATTCCCCAACTGATAAATGGTCAAAGGATATGAACAGGCAGTTTTCAGAGGAAGAAATTAAAGCTATCTATAGTCATATGAAAAAATGTTCTAAATCACTATTGATTAGAAAAATGTAAATTAAAACAACTCTGAGGTACCACATCACACCTATCAGATTGGCTAACATGACAAAACAGGACAATGAAAAATGTTGGAGAGGATATGGGAAAATTGGAATGCTAATGCATTGTTGGTGGAGTTGTGAACTGATCCAACCATTCTGGAGAACAATTTGGAACTATGCCCAAAGAACTATAAAATTTTGCATACCCTTTGATCCAGCAATACCATTTCTGGGTTTGTATCCCAAAAAGATCATAAAAATGAACCCATATGTACAAAAATATTTACAGCAGCTCTTATTGTGGTGACAAAGAATTGGAAATTGAGGGGAGGCCCATTAACTGCGAAATGGCTAAACAAGTTGTAGTATATGAATGTAATGGAATGCTACTATGCTATAAAAAATGATGAGCAGGTGGACTTCAGAAAAACCTTGAAAGACTTATATGAACTGAAGCTGAGGGAAATGAGCAGAACCAGGAGAACATTGTACACAGTAACAGCCATACTGTGCAATGACTAACTTTGATAGACATATCTCGTCTTAGCAATGCAAGTATCTAAGACAACTTCAAAACACTCACAATGGAAAATGCTATCCACATCCTGAAAAAGAACTATGGAGTCTGAACGCCGATGGAAACATACTATTTGCTCTCCTTTTCCTTTGTTATTTTGTTTTATTGCTTCATTCTCATGGTTCCTCCCATTAGTTCTAATTGTTCTTTACATCATGACTAATAGGAAAATATGCTTAATATGAATGTATATGTAGAGTCTATATCAGATTGCATGCTATCTTGGGGGGAGAGAAAATTTAAAACTCAAAAACTTATGGAAGTGAATGCTGAAAACTAAAAATAGATAAATTAATTATTTAAAAAAATACAATTGGCCAAATGGGGGGAAAAAAAGTACACTGAAGAAATCAACTCCTTAAAAAATAGAATTGGCCAAATGGAAAGGGAGGCACAGAAGCTAATAGAAGGAAACAATTTGTTAAAAATTAGACTTGGGTAAGTGGAGGCTAATGACTCTATGAGATATCAAGAATCAGTCAAACAGAAACAAAAGAATGAAAAAATAGAAGAAAACATAAAATACCTCATTGGCAAAACAACTGACCTGGAAGACAGATCCAGGAGAGACAATTTTAAAATTATTGGTCTACCTGAAAACCATGATGAAAAAAAGAGCCTTGACAGCATCTTTCAGGAAATCATCAAGGAAAACTGCCCTGACATACTAGAACCAGAAGGTAAAATAGTCTTCAAACGAATCCACTGATCACCTCCTGAAAGAGATCCCAAATTGAAAACACCAAGAAATATTGCAGTCAAATTCCGAAACTACCAGGTCAAAGAGAAAATACTGCAAGCAGCCAGAAAGAAACAATTTAAATATTTTGGAACCACAGTCAGGATTGTGCAGGACCTTGCAGCTTCTACATTAAAAGATCAGAGGGCATAGAATAAGATATTCCATAAGGCAAGGGAGCTTGGATTACAACCAAGGATCAACCATCCAGAAAAATTCAGCATAATCTTTCAGGGGAGCAGATGGACATTGAACAAAATAGGGGACTTCCAAATCTTCCTGATAAAAAGGCCAGAGTTCAACAGAAAATTTGATTTTCAATTACAAGACTCAAGAACAGCATAAAAAGGTAAATAGGAAAGAAAAAACCAACAACATGCTATTAATAAGGGCCAACTGTTTATATCCCTACAAGGGAGGATGACTCGTGTAACTCGAGAACTGTATTGTTATTACGACATTTAAAAGGGATATACATAGACAGAGGACGTTGACTTTGATATGATGATAAAAAATCTAATTAAGTGGTGAAAAGGATTGTTCTGGGAGAAGTAAGAAGGAGACAGACAAGGGTAAATTATATCACATGAAAAGGCACAAAAACCTATTACAGTAGAGAGAAAGAAGGGAGGGAGATGAGCACTGTTTTATTCTCATCAGATTTGGCTCAAAAGAGGGAATAACATAATCAGTTAGGTATAGAAATCTAACTTACCATATAAGAAGTAGGAGGGGAAGGAAAAAGAAAAGGGAGGGAGTGGATAGAAGGGAGGGAAGAAGTCGTAAGGGTAAAGGGGAAGAAAAGGGAGGGGATCAATAGGAGGGAGAGCAGACTGAGGAAAGTTGTGGTCGAAAGCAAAACTTTGGTGAGGAGAGAAAGGGAGAAAGAAGAGAGAAAAGCATAAACTGGGAGGGAAATAGGATGGACAGAAAGATACAGATAGTAATCATAACTGTGAATGTGAATGGGATGAACTCTCCCATAAAACAGAAGCAGATAGCAGAGTGTATTAAGAACCATAATCCTACAATATGTTGTTTAAAAACCTGGAAAGACTTACACGAACTGATGCTGAGTGAAATGAACAGAACCAGGAGAACACCGTACACAGTAACAGCCACATTGTTCGATGACTGACTCTGATAGATTTAGCTCTTCTCAGCAATGTGAGGATCTAAGACATCTCCAAAAGACTCATGATGAAAATTGCTGTCCACATCCAGAGAAAGAACTTTGGAGTCTGAATGCAGATGGAAGCATACCATTTGCTCTCTTTTTTTGTTGTTCTTGTTTTGTTTTGTTTCTTCTTTCTCCGGTTCATCCTATTAGTTCTAATTATTGTTTACATCATGACTAATGTGAAAATGTTTAATATGAATGTATAAGTAAAGCCTAAATCACATTGCACATTGTCTTGGGGAGGACAGGGAGGGGGAGAAAATTTAAAACTCAAAATCTTATGGAAGTGAATGTTGAAGAATTAAAATAAATAAATTAATTATTTTAAAAAAGAAGAATAAATATGAGAAAACACTCCCACTCTACTCTTTTGCAGAGGTGAGAGGTCCATAGATATGAAACCTTGCATATATTTTCAAAGAATTGATCAATTTTACTCATTTTCTTTTCTTTCTTCTTCCTCTTTCTTTTTTCCTTCAAAAAAATTAATCACTTTTCACTTCACACCTAGCAAATTGGCAAAGATGACAAAAGATAGGAATAGTCAATGCCGGAATGGTTGTGGGATAATAATAATAATGATAGCTAACATTTATATAGTACTTATTACGTACCAAGCACAGCTTTACAATTATTATCTTGTTTGATCCTCACAAAAACCTTGGGTAGTAGGTGATATCATTCTACAGATGAGGAAATTGAGGCAAAAAGAATAAATAACTCTGTTCCCAGGGTCACACAGCTATCACTTCATATGTATAATTGATATCATATTTCTTGACTTCTCAGTGGGTGGGGGAAGGGCTACAGGGAGGGAAAGAAATGTTAAATGTTAAAAATAAAGAAAGGAAAAAGAAACAAATACTTTATTTTATGGGATGGCTCTCTAGGAGGGGGAAGGGAGAAATACAGGAGAAATTTAGGTGGTAAAAAAATAAAAAAATAACCATTTTTTAAAAAAAATAGAACAAAAAAGTACATGAATTTACAGACATTTGACAGGTAGTCTTTGCAAACTCCTTTGCAAACACACACACACACACATACCTTTTTTTAGACAACCAAGGGTAAGTGACTTATCCAGAATCACACAGCTAGTAAGTGTCGAGGCTAAATTTGAATTGAGATCCTCTTGACTCCAGCCAGGGAAGATACTCTATTCACCGTACCACCTAACTTCCCCTTTTGCAGTTCTTCATTGTGTCAAGCTATGTCCCCAAAAAGGCTCATTCTTAGGAATATAGCATTGAAAACTATCAAAGCAGAAGCTATTCTTAGCTGGCCATTTTAAACTTAGACCAACCCTCATCCTGGAATGGCAACCCTGGGATCAGGTCCCCTGCTCTGTCATTCCTGGATCTGTGACTCCAAACTAGTTAGGGATCCATAGAGCAGCCAGAATATGATAATGTGTCCGCAGACATCTCTCCTTCCGGCAACTTGGGCTAGAAAAATGATTCGCTGTGATTTTTTTAAAAATCGGATTTTCTGATAATAATCTGATCCACAATATTTTCTAGATCTGTTTGAAAGATTTGGAGGCAGAGAGAATGAGGTCACTGTCACTAAAATGCCCATACACTTTGATCCAGAAATTCCATTACTAGAATTATATATACCTCATAAAGGTCACTGATAAGAAGATAGTAAGTCCTTCTAAAAGAATGCAGAAAAGGACATTTTTTTTTAAGGCAATTGGGGTTGACTTGCCCAGGGTCACACAGCTAGTAAGTGCCAAGTATTTGGTGTGAGGCCAGATTTGAACTCAGGTCCTTCTGACTTCAGGGCCGGTGCTCCATCCGCCGCTTCACCTAGCTGCCCCCTGAAAAGGGCATTTTTTTCAAAAGGATCTATAGTGATGTCCCTGAAAAGGACTGAGCAGATGGACAGTTCGGGTCATAAGAACAACATAATAATACTCGGGTGCTTTCCTCTTCTTACTGTCCGCCCTTCAGTGTGTAAACACTGTTGATAAGCAGTCATTCATCAGTGGTAGACAATCAGAGTGCTGTGTTAGAAGAACTAGCAAAGGTCATAGACTTGGAATGAAATTACAAATAGGCTAAGGGAACCATATATGCTAAATTATTTGTAGAACTTTTGGTGGTAGCAAAAGCAGATGACCTGCTACTATACCACATCCACTCCCCAATGCTGCTATTTCTATAACACTTGGAACTGGGGCTAGAAGACAGAACAAAGAGCTAGTCCCAAGGCCCCATTTAAAAAGGGCTCCCCCCGGGCCAGCCATCTCTTCAGTTCCCACCTCGCCTCACTCCTTTGGCTTAGACATCACGCTGTGGATGTGGGTTCCTTACCCCTTCCCTCCTTCCCTTCTTTTTGTGCCTTGTCTTCTCCCATTAAATTTTAAGCTTCTTCAGATCAGGGACTGTATTTCTTTTTCATATTAGTATCTGCAGTACTTAGCACAGTGACTGATAACCTAGTAGGTGCTAGTAGCACCTAGTAGGTGCTAGTAAGTGTGTATTTATCGGGTGACTGCCAGATCTCATTGTTAATAAGATCATTCGCCAGAAAGTCTGTTGTCATTATGTCTCATGCAGCAGGTAGAATGGTAGTGGTGGCTACTTTTTAGATATGTAATTATGAGTATTTAGCCAATGAGAAAAGCGCCAAAAAAACTAGCTTCTTTGTCCATATCAATCAATTTTTCATTGCTGACAGATACAAAGATTCTTTCATTCTCCCTGAGCTCAAACACTCCGCCTTGATAAATGGAATAGAGTCCATATTCTGAATTTTTAGACCAACAGCTAGTCTTTACGCTTTTCAAGAGTAGGATGGGTTCTGGGTAACTTGTCACTTTGTAAATGTATTGGACCAGTTGTTTGGGCTGTTTACTCCTCTCTTCACTCAAAGCTGAGACAGAACTTCCTTCCAGCTCCTGGAACCGAAAGTAGGTTTGGGAATAGATATAATAGTATCCAGTTTGAGAAATGATGAGCTCACCATCCACCACATCCACATTATGGAGGAATGAATGTCCTTTCCTTGAAGATTCCCAGTATTTGATTTTCCAACCCAAGGCTCTTCCAAGCAATGAACCTAGACAATTGAAAAGAGCAAGAGAGAAAAGCATTCATAGAAGCTGCTATTGGAGCACAAGCAGACAATTCATTAACCCCAAGTACATTTTGTTATTAAGAATATGATAATAATAACTGACATTTACATATCACGTTAAGATTTACCAAGTGCTTTACATACGTTATCTTATTTGATCTTCACAAAAAACTTTGTGAGGTAGGGGCAGCTAGGTGGTGTAGTGGATAGAGCTCCACCCTTGGAGTCAGGAGGACCTGAGTTTGAATCTGGACTCAGACACTTGACACTTACTAGCTGTGTGACCCTGAGCAAGTCACTTAACCCCAACTACATCACCAAAAAAAAAAAGTCAAAAAAACCCCCACCTTTGTGAGGTAGTCTATTATTAAACCCATTTGACAGTTGTGGAAACTGAGGCTGAAGAAAGTTAAGTGAACTCTCTAGGGTCACAAAGCTGGTAAATGTATAGAACAAAACTTGAATTCAGGTCTTCCTGCCTCCAAATCCAGCATATTCACTATGCCATCTAGCCATCTGGATACAAACACTTTGCATCTGTCATAAAGTTTCCCATCACTCTAATCTTCGGCCCTTAGAAATCAGTCTCCATGACCTGGTCCAAAGGTCAGTTTTTCCACAGTTGGAAGCAACAATAAGAGAAATTATAAATTAAATGTAAGTGAAAGTGAGAATTCTGCACATCTTGTTAAGTCATTTGGTCAATATGCATTTATTAAGCATCTACTATATTCTAGGCACTCTACCAACCACTGAATACACAGAAAGAAGCAAAAGACAGTCCCTGCCCTGAATGAGCTTACAATCTAGTAGGGATAAAAAACAAGCAAATAAAAATGTACAAACAAGCAATATACAGAACAAATAGGAAATAGAAGACAGAAGACACTATAATTAACAGAGGTTGGCAAAGGCTTCCTGTATAAGGTGGGATTTTAGTTGGTTCTTGAAGGAAGCCAGGGAAGCCAATAGGTAAAGATGAGGAGGGAGAACATTCCAGGCATGGACAACAACCAAAGAAAATGTGGGGAGCCAAGAGATAGAGTGTCTTGTTTGTGAACAGTCAGGGTCACTGGATCAAAGAGTACAAAGTAGAGAGTAAGGTGTAAGAAGATTGAGAAAGTGAGGCAGGGGAGGTCTGGGTTAGGAAAGGTTTTGAATGCCAAAAAGAAGCTTTTATATTTGATCCTGTATATAATAGAAAATCACGAGAGTTTAACGGGGGGCGGGGTGGTGACATGGATGGACTTATCCTTTAGAAAAATCACTTTGGTAACTGAACGGAGGATGGGCTGGAGTGGGGAGAGACTTGAGACAGACAGATCCACCAGCAGCTGCTGCAATAGTCGAGGTGTGAGGTGATGAGGGCCTACACCAAGGTCAGGGCAGGGTTAGAAGAAATGGCACAGAGGTGAATCAATAGACCTTGGCATCAGACTGAATATGGAGGGGTGAGAGAGTGTGAGGAGTGAAGAAAGGATACCTAAGATGTGAGCATGGGGGACTGGGAGAATGATACTGTCCTCAACAGTGACAGGGAAATTTAGAGCAGGCAAGGGTTTAAGGGAAAAGATAATGAGTTCAGTTCCGGACATGCTGAGTTTAAGAGGTCAGCAGAGTGGCTAGGGCAGGATAGGAAGATCGGAGAATCAGTATAGAGATGATATTTCAAGCCATGGGAGCTGGTGAGATTATATCCACATAAAGGATGAGGAAACATCCATATTGAGGATCAGGAAAATATCTGTTCCTCAAAACACCACCCTCCCTTTCTCACTGAAACTTCAAAGTCTACGACCAATGGATGAAGTCTTTCATTCCTGCATTAAAGAAGGCTCCAATATGCAAAAAAGCCCCCTCCATTTTACTGACTTACGTGCTTCATGATGCACTAATGGCTGATATCAGATCCTATACTGACTATGGGTTTGATGGGATCTATGGAAGTGAGTGTGGAAGGGAGAAGGGTACAGAAAAAAACTGAATGGGAATAGGAAAGAATATACCTCCTTCTCAGCTGTGCCTGGCACCTTCACAAAAATTGACCATGTGTTAGGGCATAAAGACATCACAAACAAATGCAGAAAACCAGAAATATTAAATGCACACTTTTCAAACCATAATGCAATAAAAATTACTTTCAATAAAGGGCCTTGGAAGCATAGATTAAAAATTATTTGGAAACTAAATAATCTAATTCTAAAGAATTAGTGGGTCAAAGAACAAAGCATAGACATAATCAATAACTTCATTAAAGATAATAACAATGAGACAATATTCCAAAATTTTACCTGTCAGATCTATGGATAAGGGAAGACTTTATGACCAAGCAAGAGATTGAGAGGATCATAGGAGGTAAGATTACATGAAATTTAAAAAGGTTTTGTGCAAACAACAATACAGCCAAAATTTAAAAGGAAATCAGGAAACCGGGGGAAATTTTTTTACAGTGTTTCTCTAATAAAAGCTTCATCTCTCAAACATGTAGTGACCTGAACCAAATTTATAAAAATAAAAGCCATTCTCTAATTGATAAATGGTCAAAGGATATGAACAGGCAGTTTTTAGAAGAAGAAATCAAAGCTATCTATAGTCATATGAAAAATGCTCTAAATCAATAAGAATTAGAGAAATGATGCACATTAAAACAACTCTGAGGTACCACTTTACACCCATCAGATTGGCTGACATGACAGAAAAGGAAAGTAATCAATGCTGGAGAAGTTGAAAAATAGGCACACAATTGCACTGTTGATTGGAGTTGTGAACTGATCCAACCATTTTTTTTTAAGGCAATTGGGGTTAAGTGATTTGCCCAGGGTCACACAGCTAGTAAGTGTCAAGTGTTTGGTCTGAGGTCAGATTTGAACTGAGACCCTCCTGACTTCAGGGCTGGTGTGCCACCTAGCTGCCCCAGATCCAACCATTCTAAAGAACAATTTGGAACTACACCCGAAGGTGTATAGCCAGAGGGCCATAAAACTGTATTTCCTTTGATCTGGCAATACCACTCCTAGGCTTGTATCCTATAGAGATCAAAGCAAAAGGAAAATGATTTATATGTAAAAAATATTTCTAGCAGCTCTTTTGGTGGTGGCAAAGAATTGGAAATTGAGGGACTCTCCATCAATTGAGAATGGCTAAACAAGTTGTATTTTATGGTTGTGATGGAATACTATCGTGCTATAAGAAATGATGAAGGGAATGGATTCAGAAAAACCTGGAAAGTCTTATATGAACTGATGCAAAATTAAGTGAGCAGAACCAGTAGAACATTGTACATAGTAACTACAATATTGTAACAATGATCAACTGTGAAAGACTTTGCTACTCTGATCAGTACAAAGAACTAAGACAATTCCAAAAGATTCATAATGAAAAATGTTATCCACCTCCAGAGAGAGAACTGATGACGTCTGAGGGCAGATTGAAACATATTTTTAAACTTACTTTATATTTCTTGGGTTTTGTTTTGTTTTGTTTGCAACATGGCTAGTATAGAAATATATTTTGCATAACTTCACATGTAAAATGAGTATCACATTGCTTGTCTTTTCAGTGAGTGGGGGAGGGGAAGGAGGAAGAGATTTTGTAACTCAAAATTTAAAAAAAATGAATGTCCAAACAAAACACATAAAGAATAAATTGGAGGTAATCTCAGAGGAAAGGCAGTATGATTAAGGAAGACTAGGAAAGGCTTCTTGTCAAAGGTGGGATTTAGCTGAGATTGGAGAAAGACAGGAAGCTAAGAGGAAGAGATGAGGAGAGAGAATTTATAGGCAAGGAGAACAGCCAGTGAATATGTCCAGTTGTGAGAACAAGTGTCTTGTGTGAAGTACAGCAAAGAGGCCAGTGTCAGTGGATTATAGAGTATATGGAGAGGAGTAGGATCTAAGAAGGTGGGAAGGGGCAGGTTATTAAAGGTGGGTGGTTGTTGTTTTTTTCTTTAAAGCCCAATAGAAGGTTTTATATTTGATTCTGGAGGTTATAGGCAACCACTGGAGTTTATTAAATAAGGGAACGGCATGGTCAGACCTATACTTTTGGAAGATCACTTTGATAAGTGGGTAGAGATGCACTGGAGTGGGAAAAGACTTGAGGAAAGAAGGCCAACCAGAAGACTCTTTGTAGCAGTCCAGGTATGAGGTGATGAGGACCTGCATTAGGGTTGGTGGCAGTTATTAGAGCGGGGGATTGGGAGGAGACATAGAAGAGAGATCTTTCTAGAATGGCAACAGCTTGGGTGGAGTAAGACGTTGAGGTTGCATGCTTGAGTGACTGGGAGCGTGGTGGTGCCTAAGTCAGCATAGTCAGGTTACAAAGAGAGAAAGATTTGGGGAGAAAAAGAATGAATTGTTTTGGACATGCTGAGTTTAAGATGTATGTGGGACATCCTAGTTTGAGATGTCCCAGAAACAGTTGAAGATGAAAGCTGAAGGACAAGTGAGAAGGAAAAATAGATCTGAGAATTAACTACATAGGAATGATCATTCAATTCATGGGAGCTGATGAAATTATTAAGTGAATTGGTATAAAGGGAGAAGATAAAAAGTCCTAGAACAAAGCCTTCAGGGACATTCACAGTTAGCAGGTGCATCCTGAATAAAGATCAAGCAACGGAGACTGAGAAGAAATGGTGCATGGAGACCAGCCAAGATGGCTGAGAAGCAGAAAGAAGTACAGCCAAGCTAGCCCCCACAACTGCGGCACAAAGATCTAGAGAATGCATGGCTAAACACCCTGAGAAAGCTATCTGGAATTGGTGCCTCTACTTCCGGGCCTCCCCCTCATTTCTTAACTCTGTAACCTGGCTTCCAGCTTCATCATTCAACCAACATTGTTCCATCTAAAGTTACCCACGGTCTCTTAATAGCCCTATCTAATGACCTTTTTTTCCAACTTCCTTCTTCTTGACCTCTGCAGCCTTTGATTACCCTTTTCTCCTTGATATGCTTCTTTCTACATTTTCTTGACACTGCTTTCTCCCTGTTCTTCTCCTCCCTGTCTCTTATGAATACATGCTTCTTGTCTGATTGAATGACCTCTCTGACCGTTTCTTGTCAGTCTCCTTTGCTTGTGTGTCACCTTCCCCCATTACGTTGCAAGCTCCTTGAGGGCAATGATTATCTTTGTTTTTATTTGTATTAATATCTCTAGCACAGTGCCTGGTACACAGTAGGCACTTAATAAATGTTGACTGATCAATTTTAAAAAGGAGGGAAGGAACAGAGGTATTGGACAGTAACTAGCAGAGATATTGATCCCATGAAGCACCATACTGAATGTTAGAGACACAAAGAAAGGCAAAAACATGGTCTCTGCCCTCAAAGAAATGAAAAACACTGACTATGTTCAAGATGTTCGATGTACAGCAATCAGCAAACATTTACTAAGCACTTACTATGTGTCAGGCACTGTGCTAGGAGCTAAGGATAAAAAGACAAAAGCAACATAATCCTTGCCCTCAAGGAGTTTACATTCCCCATTAGGGGAGCTGACATACACAAAAATAAGTATATGTAAAACACAGGAACATGGATTGGACAGATTATTCCGTCAGGACAGGAAACTGCTTCCAGTACTGGCCAGCACCTTCTCACTGAGAACTCACTTTTAGAGTCATCTTGGGGCACTGAGACTTTATGTAATTTACTTGGAGTCAACATAGCCAGGATGTGTCGGATGTGGGACTTAAAACCAGGTTTTCCTGCCTCCAAGGCCGGCTCTCTTAACACAACGTAATTCTGAGCAGGAAGACGCTAGATAATTATAAACAAGGTTGATCGCACCTAGCTAAAGGAGAAATCCAGACAAAGTAATCTGGGATAATTGTAGAGGAAGAGGTCGTCAGCTAGGGAGATCACAGAAGGTTACACAGAGGAGACTGTGTCTATTTTCAGGCATGACTATAAGTATAAATAGCTGGTTTCGAATGTTGTCATTGCCTAGTACAGTACCTCAAACATAGCAAGTGGTTAACAAATACTTATTGATGGATTGATTGGTTGATATGAATAGAAGGCCAAGTGACCACAGACTGAGGCACTGATGAAAGTGGGGAAGAGGGAGCTTGGGGAAGTGGAAGGAAGAAAAGGCAGATTTTATTGCTTGAAAAGATACAATTTAGTTTTTTTAAGTGAAATAAAATGGATATCTTATCAAAAGAGAGAAGTGCAAGTAAGATCCAGGCAGGATTCTCTCTATATTACAGTCCAATGTATGAAAAAATATAATTATATAAGACATAGCATGTAAATACAAAATATATATAATAAATAATATGTAAAGCTTTGCTCATTTTTCAGATTTGCCTTGAATAAGGGGAGCAGGTAAGCCAAATCTTCCCACACCCAGAATGGACTGCCATGGAACTGGAAAAAGAAATATTCAGGAGCTGTGTGTCCTTCAGGCACATACTTCGATGGGTTTTGGTTCAAACATTAGAATTGCCCTCCCTAATCTCAATCTCCCACCCTTTACTTGCCCCATTGTCTCACTCTTGCTAATGTTCCTCTTCATCCTCAGCCTGCACAGTGCCAGTCCAGCACATGAGAAGCACTTTATCAATGCTCACTGATGATGATGATAAACTCATGCCCTTTCTACATTGCTGTTCTTCTAATCCATCACCCTGGCTCTCTCCTTGCTCCCTCCTTTCAATGTTGAACCTTTAATTAACCATTTCAACAAGGTGCTGCCTTCCGTTCCAAGGTCCTTGTATATCCAGATTGGACAATTCTTGAATCTGGGTTATCCCTCCCATCTCCTTCTCTATTTACTCCATCTCAGTAGTTCCCAAGTTACAAAACCACGTTGATTGAGTCTATTAAAAAGTCCATCAACCTGACCCTAGCTACTTTGGGGCTCTTTTATTCATCTCTGATTGATTCTTTATCATACCTCTGATGATAGGATCAAAGATTTAGAGCTGGAAGGAACCTCTCATGTGATTTGTCCAAACTCCCTCATTTTATAGTTGAAGAAAATTAAGGTCAGAGATGGTGGATGATTATCCTCAGGGTAATAAGTGATAGAACTCAGGGTTGAAGCCAGGTCCTTTGCCTTTCTCACTTACCTTCCAGTTAATGATTTGCCAATTTCTGTCCATGCCACCTTCCCAATATCCCTCAACTTTGTCCCCTACTCTTGACTTATACAGCTACTAGCCTTGTTCAAGCATGCATCATCCCTCCCTTGGATTATCACAATAGACTCCTAAATGATCTTCCTACCTCAATCCCTGCTCTAATCTATCCTTCATCTAGCCGCCAAAATCATCCAAGGCCATACTCACAGGTCTGACCTGCTCAAAAACTACTTCTAGTGGACCTTTGTTTGAATCATTTCAGTCATGTCTGACTCTTCATGTCCCCATTTGGGATTTTCTTGGCAAATATACTGGAGTGGTTTGCCGTTCTCTTCTCCAGTTCATTTTACAGATGAAGAAACTGAGGCAAACAGGGTTAAGTGACTTGCCCAGGGTCACACAGCTAGTAAGTGTCTGAGGCCAGATTTGAACTTAGGAGTCTCCCTGACTCCAGGCCTGGCTCACTATAGCCACCCTATTATATCTAGGATAACACATATACTCCTTAGCCTGGGATTTCAGGTCCTCCAGGGACACACTCCAATCTAGCCTCATTTCACATGTCTCCCTTTCATACAGTCTATATTCCAATGTGTACTATTAGTTATTCATTGAGCTCTATCATCTTTGTGAATATGCAGGCTACCCTCTATGGCTAGAATACACTCCTTCCTCTTGTCCACCCATTGAAATCCTCTTTCTTAGAAAACAGCATCATTGAAGCATTTTTGAAACCTCCTAGAAGAAAAAAGTTCAGAAGGAAGCAGACGACTAGGACACCTTTGAAAAGCATGAGGTTGAATTTATTATGTATTTTTTTAAAGCAAGCTATATATAAGAGAGATTCATGTTTTCACTTACCCTCTTTTCCTGTTCAGCTTTTTATATGGAAACGTTCTCTTCCATTTTATTTTATTCGTGTTCATTAAATTCAGAATAAAAATAATTTTAAAAAAGAGCCCATCTTAGGGCCGCTTTCCTCATCTCCCCCCCCCCCCCCCAAAAAAAACTGTTCTCTTCCTCCTCAAATTTTCTCAGAGCTTTTCTTCTGGATCTTTGCTTTCTATTTTACACTGTGCTCATTTTGTATGTTTATCTTAAGCCCTCCTCACTAGATTATCAGCTCCTTTCTTCTTTCTATCCCCATCTTAGCCCAGATCCTTGCAAACTGCTATCACTTAATATAACCAAATTGAGTTGAAATTAAAAAAAAATCACATGTTAGGTAAGCGTCTTACTTCTAGAAAAGGGAGAACTCATCTGCCTGTTTCCAGTGAGATGAGCTGCTACTCTCTGGACAGCACTCTGATTAAACTTTTCTCTGGCTCCAAAAGGGTTGTTCTGACTCTTATCTAGAAGGAAAGAAAGAATGGTTAGTGCACTGGTCCAACCACTGAAATTAACCTTAAAGTCAACAGATGCCAATCCCAGAAGATCTTAAAAACTAGACCATGTTTCCAAAGACAGTCCCATCACTCAGTAAGGCTGGAAGGAAGCTTGGGGGAGGGGTGAAGGAACAAGCATTTTTATTAACTGCCTACTATGTGCTCAGAGCTTTTACGAATATTCTCTCATTTTATCCTCACAACATCCTATTAAGGTAGATGCTATTATTATCTCCATTTTTTGAGGAAACTGAGGCAGACAGAAGCACAAAAAACTCTTCCCTCGTGGTGGACAATCTTTGAGTAATGACCCTCCCCAAACTTAGCTATGTTTGTCTTAGAACAACATTATCCACCTGTACTCCCAAGCCCTTCTAGCTTAGTGGAACTAACCAGGACCTAAAGCACATTGGTGTACTTGTAAGATCCAAGGGTACCTTCATGCCCATTGGAATAAAACTTTCAGAACTATTAAATAGCTCATAATACCTCCCGTTGTCTCAGATATTTGCACTTTGGTACTAAATAGGCTTCGAGGTGGTTGTTTCAGTGGCTAGAACTCAGAACTTGGAGTCAGGAGGACCTGAGTTCAAATCCTACCTCAGAAACTTACTTAGTTTAGTGACCTTAGGCAAATCACTTAAGCTCTCTCTGTCTCAGTTCCCTCATCTGTGAAATGGGGATTATAATAGCACCTGCATCCCCCAGTTATTATGAGGATCAAATGAAATAAAATGTGCCAGTCACTTTGCAAACCTATATTACTAGCTATTTCTAAATATGGAGTTTCTTGTAACTAGCTTACATTACAATGATCTGGCTTGAAAATGCATTTCGGTAAAAGGAATTTTCTTACTGATCAGCTCTTTTTTCTGGGTGGTATTCAGAAATTCCACTAGCCTTGGAGAATACCCTGGGGCACTGAGAGCTTAGGTGAATTACCTATGTTCATACATCAAGCATGTGTCAGAGGTAGGGTCCAAATTCGGGTCTTTTTTATTCTAAAGGGCCTCCGATATCTGCTATGCCAAGTGTCCTCTCAGGTCCACGTTACGTCTCCCAAAATGTGTTTGGGAAATCAAGCAAGGTCTTTGAATGGCTAGTAAGAGACCTATGATGTCTATTACTAATTGAAGAATAATTTTAAAGAGAGACCCATCCTCCCAAGTTTGAAAATATATATGAAGTATTCTTTCTTTTTCTTTTCTTTCTTTATTTTTCTTGGTTTTTTTTTTGTCTGTGTTTTCTTTCACAGCACTGCTAATAAGGAAATGTGTTTTGCATGACCACTCAAGTGTAATTGATGTCAAATTGCTTTCCTTTTAAAGGAGGAAGGAGGGGAAGAAAAGAAAGAGAGAATTTGGAACTTAAAATTTTTAAAAATGAATGTTAAAAATTCTTTTACATGTAATTGGGAAATATTTAATGAAATACATAAAAGCATATTAAAAAGGAAAAAGAAAATGAAGTAGCAAGGCCATGGGAGATAACTTGGCAACTCCATGGTTCAGGTGTCAAACACTCAGGTTCTTGTCTTAGGTGCAAGTGACCAGTTCCTCTGTCTGGACATCTGGGGAAACTCTTTCCTTCTCAATGGGAATTCCTTCCTTCTGCAGAAAAGGAGACTGTCCACTCATCAGATCAGGGCTGACTGAGATCAGGGCTAAGTAAAACCCAAGACAACACCTGCAGCCATTCTGAGATTCTATTTCCTCACCATTCTTTGGCCTAACTGCTCTTCCCTATATCCCCAGGAAGACAACATAAAGGAGAACCCAGATGCTCTATATGCAGACACACAATGGAGAGATGTTACAGGCCTGGCTCCACTTCCTATGAAATAATCAACTGGTAACGGTAACCGGATGACTAAGTGGATAGAGGTCTGGCCTTGGAGCCAAAAGCACCTAGATTCAAGTCTTGCATCTTGCATGGATTTGTTCTTTGACCCTGGATAAGTTCCTTAACCCTTCAGGGTCCCAGGCAGCTCTTTGAGACTACAAAGTCTTTCCACAATGAGAGTTTTCCACATCAATGAAATCATAGGCTTGGACCAAAAAAATCAGAGCAACCAGAAGGATACAGGAGGAGCCACAGTATAAGTGAAAATGAAACAAACTTTATAATGGAATCACAGAATTTCAGAGTTGATGTCATCTAACTCCAAATGTTCATTCAAAGGTCATTCAGTCCAACTGATGACTGATAACCGGACAGCTAGGTGGAGTAGTGGATAGATTTGGGGTCAACAAGACCCGAGTCAAAATCTTGCTTCACATTCTTCCCAGATGTGTGATTCCAGGAATCACTCAGCTAACTTCCCTCAGCTTCAGTTTTCTAATCTTTAAAATGAGAGAGTTGGTCTCAGTGGACTCCAAGGTCCTTCTACATCCCGGGATCCTATAAACAGGAATCTCCCCTCCAAAATTTCCCACAAGGGGCCATCCAGCTGCTGCTGAAGGAGAACCCACTGGCTCCTGGGCATCCCACGGACAGTAGGAACAATGATGCTCATGAAGGATAGTAAGATTATCATTGTAACTCACATTTAGGTAGTGCTCTGGGATTTCCCAAGTGCTTCTTCTTCAGTGACCCCACCTGGGATTTGGTTGTGAAAGAATGATTGTCCCCATTAGAGATGCAGAGTGGGTTTGGCAGGGTCAGTAGAATGGAACCCTGGGATTCTCCAGGAAAGATGGGGATATAGGAGCCAGTGGGAAGGGGTTTACTTGTGGAGAGGGATGGTAGAGGAAAGGGTTCGCCTATGAAGAAAGGGAGTCTGTTTATCAGATTAGGGGAGGGGGAAAGGGCAGCGGATGGAACTAAGGGATTCAAGGGGATGGAAGCAGATTCAAAGGATGCCCACCATGTAAGAATACAGATGGTCAGACAATATTTTTAAGTAAACAAGGAATTCCAATAAAAACTGTTTCTACCTTGACTTGCAGAAGAATCCTTGTAGATTGTCAAAAGTTCCTGCAAATAGGATCAAATAATTTTATTTAGAAGTCCAGGCAGGGTTGTTTTGTTCATAGTTTGGTGAGCCCAGCCCCTAACCAGGAAATGCTTGTTGACTGAATGACCTACCTTCCTAATCAACTGCTGGAGCTGCCATTTGAACTGCAGGCATGGGAGGTCTTCCTGTTCTGCATCACCACTGGGGTCACCCAGCCTGGCTCCCAAGTATTCCTTTGTAAGACACTCCAGGCTGCTTTGAGAATTTGCATCTTGTAGCTGTGCCAACTGGGAAAGTTATATCATAACAACATTAGGAGCTATATTCCTGGATATCCTTTAGACACACAATAGCAACTGGTTTCAATTTCAGAAATAAATTTTGCATAGTCCACACCCTATTCCTTCCCCCTGCCCAACCCTCTAACTAGCCGTGGTGAGAACTGAGGTGAGAACTCCCAACTGATTCTTTTCCCAACCCCTTACCCACTGCCCAGTTTCTACCATGTATAGAACATTCACCATCAGCTGAAGGCTGGCCCCTACATCCCCATTTTCCCTGGAGATATCCCAGAGTTCCACTACACTCCCCTTAATCCCACAGTCCTCTTGGTAGAAGTAAGAGCCCTCCTCTAAGTGTTGTTTCTCACCCCTCCCCCTCCATATTAGAATGGGAGCTCCTTGAGGGCAGGGAAGATCTCAGTTTTCTATCATATCCTCAGAATATACTTGACACATAATAAGTAGGTGTAGAATAAATGGTTTTTCATTCCATTCCACTAGGTAAAATAAACCCCTGTCTCTAAGCCTGTGTAATAGAGGAAAGAGAATCTAGGCTGAGCTAGTCTCTCACTCTCCCGGGGCTTTTATTCCTTATCTATAAAATGAGGGGATTGGACCAGACCACCTTTGCAGTCTCTCCCTGCTCTAGAACTCTGGTTTTAGGGTCAGCAAAACCTGAATTCAAATCCTTCCTCAAACACTGACTACCTGTGTGACCCTGAGCAAGTCACTTACCTTCCTTAGGTCTCAGTTTCCTCATCTGTAAAAGGAAGGAATTAGACTTGCTGGCCCTCTACAGTCTCTGTAAATCTATAATCCTATGTTCCCTACAAAAAAGAGGTGTTCAATAGATGGGTGGTACAATATGCTCTCTACCCTTTTAGAATAGAAGTTCCTTAAATGCAGGGATTGTTTCATCTTTGTCCTTGAACCCCCAGACCCCAGAACATTACCTAGCACATAAAAAGACTTCAATAAATGTTTGTTGATTGACTGGTAAATGAGTGAATTCAATTCATCACTAAACAACTGGGTGATGCTTGGTGCAAATCTCACATCAGATGCTAACTTGCTGTGACCATGAACCAGCTACTTAACCTCAATGTGCCTCCAGCAATGCCAGCTGACTTACTGGTGCAGTGGAAAGAACGCTGGCGGAGGAATCAGAGGGCCTGGGTTCAAATCCTTCCCCTGATACTTTACCTCTCAAAACTCTGGCCAACTGTCTGAGGTTAGAAATCACAAAGAAAGTATGTTGGAAGAATATTTCTTACTTATACTTTACTCTCTTCCACTAGCCAACTTCCTGACCTACTTGCAGTTTTTCAAACATCCAGCCTTTAAGCCTTTGCCCTGGCTGTGCTCTCACCTAGGAGTACTCTCCCTGCTCCTTACCTCTGCTGTTTGGTTTCTTCAGCTTCCTTCAAGACTCAGCTTAAATACCACCTTCTGCAGGACGGACTTCCCAGTGCCTAGCAGCTGCTGCTGCCTCTCCTTTCATATTGCCTTCATCTGCTACTATGTATCTTGCATGTACCTAATTACTTCAATTTTGTCTCTCCCATTAGGATGTAAACTCTTTGGGGGCAGGGAGTGTTTTTCTTTTTCTTTCCTTTTTTTTTTTTCTTTTGGTTTCTGTAGTGCTTAGCACGGTGCTGGGCACATAGTAAGCCCTTAATAAATGCTTGTTGACTACTACAATCTCCCTATACCAGCATAGTCCTGATCTCTATCCCACCAAGGGTTAAATTGTTTTCTGGGATTCATTTCACATTCATTACAAAAACCCTTATCCAGTATCTCCTATGCTGGGTGCTGGGGATGTAAAGACAGAAACCTAAGTCTCTGCCCTGAAAGGTCTCCCCTCTTAGAATCCCTAGGGATCAGCTCTAGAGCTGCCTCTTAATGCCCCAGTGCTCCCCCTCCCCATCACCTTGGATTGATTTTGTGTATATCTTGCACACATTCTGTAGCTCTCCAATAAAATAGACACTCTATGAGGGCCGAGGCAAATTCACTTTTAGATTTGTATCTCCAGTATCTAGCACTGTGCTGGCACACAGTAGGTACTTATAAGGTATATACTTGTTGATTGCTTGGTTGTTATGTTGTACAAGTGATAGAGACCAGTAGCAGCTGGTCTGGCAGTCCCTAGGGATTGGTTCACATTATTCTGAAACTCTGTTCATTGAAAGAGCTAGCATTTTATAACACTTTGAAATTTGCAAATCACTTTTACAAATATTATTTCACTTGATCCTCATAACTACCCTGGAAGGTAGGTGCTGTTATTAGACACATTTTGCAAATGAAGAAACTGAGGCAAACAGAAGTTAAGCCCAGAGGCCCACAGAAAGGAAGAAACTGAAGCTGGATTTGAGTCTTCTTGACTCTAGGCCCCTGGTGGGACTGCACTGCACCACCTAGATTCTCTTTGTTTGGGTGAGTGGTTCAGCTGCCAGTATTTACCCAGGCATGGGGAAAGGTCAGGGTGGGACCACTAGGGAGGGTCCAAAAGCCACAAAGGTCTGCACAGTGCAGAGATAAGAGCTGGGAGGGACCTCGGGGGTCATCTCGGGCAGTGCTCTCATTTTACAAAGTCCCCATGGTCATGCAGCTAATAAATGTCCAAGGCAGGATAGGAATCCAAGCCCTCGGACTCCAAATACACGGAATCACCAGATAAGAAGTGGCAAAGCTGTCTAGACATATCCTCTTTTGCAAGCTTTCAACAACCAGTTGGGTTCGGGAGAGCTTTCCAACTCACTCCTCCTTTTCTACTGCCACTTAGCAGTTGCCCCTCCCCTCTGAGGCGCACAGCTCAGGGACTTTCAGAAATCACCTTAGCAAGGCTGAGGGGGACAGCTCAGTCTCCCAGGTGAGAGATGACTCTGAAGGTGCCCCAGTGCCCACCCTCAGCCCTACCCCCGCCCCACCCCCGAGGCATCTGCTCGGACTGGGAGCCCTGGAAGGCCGGGGAGGGAAGCGGGGCGGGGCGGGGCGGGGAGCAGATGTTTGCTGCCTCGCTCTATTCCAAGCTCCCTGCAAACACAGGCTTCCCCAGCCCACTGTACTGACCTGCTTCAGCTCATTAGTGAAGTAGAGGTAAGTGGCGGCAAACAATAAGACTTGGACCATCAGCGGGAAGAGGAAGAGCAGCCCACAGGCTTGGCTAAGGCTGGGGCCATCCCTGGAGATGAGGGTCTTCAAGGACATAACGAGAGCTGCCGCCAGCCCGCAGCTGCCAGCCACAGAGCAGAGTAGGACGACTTGGGAGCTGTGCAAACTTGGAGTCGGGTGGAACGGGGGAGGCGCGTCGTGTGTGGGTGTGTTTTAAGGAAGTCCTCTTGGGAAACCGAAACTACCTGTTTGGTCGAGAAATAAGAGAAAAATCAAGGGGGTCCTTTGGGAAAGGTCCCAGGTGTTTTTACTAGAAGGTAGTCAGAGTCTTAGAAAACTCTAAATCCTTAGGATTGAGGTTTGGGGGATTGTGTGTATGTGTGTGTCTCTCATGTGTTGTGTGTATCATATATATAATTACGTATCATGTGTTGTATACTTTGTATATTATATTATGTATATATTATATATTGTATATAGAGAAAAGGGGGGGTTAGCTTACTGCCTAGAGGGCTGGCATTGGAGATAGAAAGACTTTTGTTTGACTGCATTACAATGGGAGGGTACATGGAAGGAGGCAGTATGTGATATGCTAGGGTCAAATCAGAGGGCTAAAAATGAGGGGAAAGTGATCCATGTGGTCTCAAAAGGAAGAAAAGAGCCTATAAGAGAGTGGGTGAAGAGGAGGAGAAAGGATTCAAGGTGCAAATATATTTCCGTAGTAGTCATGTTGCAAAAAAAAAAGCAAGAAAAATAAATAATGTCAGAGGATGATATGGGTAGACAGTGTCATAGAAGCAATAAACATGAGCTTTGATAGATTTCAGGAGACAATGGAGAATAGAAGGGCCTGGCATGCCATGGTCCGTGGGGTCATGAAAAGTCAGACTCGACGGAATGACTGAGTAACATCAGATTAATTTGTCAGCTCCTTGTAAAACAGAGTGTATAACCCTGAGGAAAGAAGTTAGCTACAAGGTAAGTTTCAGTGAGTTTAAGGAGAAAATAAGAAAAAAGAAAAACTCAGCACGAAACTTGGATAGGGAAGCCAAACCGGGCTAGTACATAAAGTAACATCTTAGAGCTGTTAGGGACCTCGGAAGTTACCCAGCCCCTCTATTTTGCAGATGAGGAAAGGGCCAGAGAAGCTGAGTATCTTACCCAGCAATGAAACTGCCAATGAGTGGACTGTCAGTATTCCAGGGGTGGTCCTACCCAGTCAGAGAGATACATAGCGTGTCAGTAGGAGGCAGAGAGGAAAGACTGAAGTCCAAGATCAGGGACAGAGTCTGGAGCAGTCCCAGACAGGATGAGACACCATAAGGAAGCTGGAGGCACAAGCTGATTCAGAAATGCACCTCACGCTGCAAATGCAGCTGGCTGGGCCCCAATCACGCCTGAAGGGAATTTCCACATCTACCATTTGAAAACAAACAACTATGGGGCAGCTAGGTGGCACAGTGGATGGATCACCGGCCTTGGATTCAGGAGGACCTGAGTTCAAAAGCGGCCTCAGACACATAATACTTACTAGCAGTATGACCCTGGGCAAGTCACTTAACCCCATTGCCTAACCAAAAAAAAAAAAAAGAAAGAAAACAAACAACTACCCAGATACTGAACTGGACCTCAGACCAACCTTTGAATTGGATTATTCTCCCTCCAGGATGTTTACCTGAAGCAAAACCTAGCAAAAGCTTTGACCAGGAGCCAAAGTGACTTTTAAAGGGACGGGAAGAAGAAATGTGAAGTAGATAGCTGGTGAAACCAACCTAGGCTAGCTTCTCTTCCTGGGCTGAGAATCACAGATTTAGGGCTGAAAATAACAGGAAAATCATCCTAAAGAACCAGGAGTTCTTTACCTCCTTGTTTCCCGGACTCTTTCAGCAGTCTAGTGAAGCCTATGAATCCTTTGGTCTCAAAATAATGTTTTTAAACACATGAAATAAACTGCAGAAGTTTACAAGAGAAACCAAATATATTGAAGTAATCATCAATTAAAAACAAAACAATAACAGCCACAAAGAGCTGAAGGGAAAGAGCCCTTGACAAGCCAAGCCCCTTATTTTACAGATGAGGAAACTGAGGTCCAGAGAGGGGTAATAAATAGCTGACCTTGAAATCAGGACCACAGGGTTCAAATCCTGTCTCTGATACTTACTAGCTGTGTGGCCCTGGGCAAGTCATTTAATGTTTCCTCACCTGTAAAACTGGAAACAGTAATACATGTAAGATCCACCTTAAAGGGTGGATGTGAAAATCAGACAGAACCATAAAGTGTTTTGCTAACCTCAGAGATAGAGTCAATAAGAGGGTCTTAGAGCCATGATTTCACTGGTATAGAGGGATCTCAGGTTGAAGTTCCTTCCACTATGACAGGCCAGCACCTGGCTTGAGCTCCCTGCCTTGGAGAGATTTGGCAATTAGAACTTTATAAACCTTAAAGGGCTACAGAAATGCTAGTTATTAGCTGAGGTCTCACAGGTAAAAATAGCTAACATTTGCATAACACTTTAAGGATTGCAGTGCACTTGACATGTATTATAGCATTACAACAGTCCTTTGAGGTAGGTGCTGTAATTATCCCCATTTTTCAGATGAGTAAACTGAAGTTTAATGATTTGCTGCAGCTATTGTTTGACAAGGAATTTGAACCCAAGGCTTCCTTGTTGATAAGTACAGCATTTTATCTGCTACAGAAACTAAGTGGAAGAGGGAGGACTGCAAACCCAGGTCCTCTACCTCATATTTCAGCTCCTTTTCTTCTCCAGCCTTCATTGGCTTCTAACCTAAACATTGATGGAATTGGGTTTCCAATCCCTGGGTAGCTGCTGAAAGTGAGGCTGAAATGTCGGTGGCTGCTGCAGAGCTCAGTGGTTAGAGCTCTGCTAAATCTGTGGTCAGGAAGAGTTCAGTTCTAGCCTCAAATACTTAGTTAGCTGTGCCACTATGGACAAGTCCCAACTCGTTTGCCTCGCTGGCTCTGTCTGTAAAAACAAAACAAACAAAAACTGAGAGTGATAATAATAGTACCTACCCACCTCCGGGAATTATTGTGAAGACAAAATGAGATGATATTTTTAAAGTACTTTGCAAACCTATAAATAAATATAAATACAAAACCTTTGCACACTATAAATCCTAACTAAACTCAGAACCCGTGCAGGAAATAAGACCTAAGCAACTCTTCTTCCCATGTCCTGCCAAGCTATCTGGAAAAGGAAATGTCTCTGGGGAGAAGGGAAAGAGTTGAGTGATTGTTTTCCTGCCTTCCCATAAAAATAAAGCCCTACTCCTTAAAAACACAATTCTTCCAAAAGTTTCTATTTCCCAGTTGTTGTTGTTGTTCAGCTGTGTCCGATTCTTTGTGACTCCATTTGGGGTTTCCCTGGCAAACATACTGCAGTGGTTTGTCATTTCCTTCTCCAGCTCATTTGACAGATGAGGAAACCAAGGCAAACAGGGTTAAGTGACTTGCCCAGGGTCATGCAGCTAGTAAGTGTCTGAGGCCAGATTTAAACTCAGCTTTTCCTAACTCCAGGCCCAGCACTCTCTATCCATTGAGCCAGCTAGCTGCCTCCATTAGTAATTAATAATAGCTAATATTTATCTAGAGCTTACTATGTGCCAAGCTCTGTGCTAAGAACTTTACAAATATTATTTCTTTGATCCTCACAACAACCCTGGGAGGTAGGCGCTATTATTATCTTCATTTTACATATGAGGAAACTGAGGCAGGCAGAGGTTAGTGACTTGCCCAAGGTTACAGTAAGTGTCTGGATCAAGTTTTTTGATTTTGGCTTTTCCTTTGTGGGGGGGGAAGGTGTACAACAATTGAAAATATCAAGATCAGCCTCATGAAGGAGATGGAATTGATGGGGTGCTTGGGTGCTTGCGCTTGTACCTGGATCCCAATTTCTTCCTAGTCTCAGAAACACTGTCTCTGACAACCACTCCCCAGCCCAAGGACGCTATGCCTAGCAATTGCTCATGTGTGGGCCCCAGTAAAACCTTTATCTCTCTCCCTGGTGCAGCATCACAAAGCTGGGTGAGAGAGTGCTGGGCTGCTCAGATCATGTCTCTGGAAGCCTCCCAATTCCTTAGTAAGTTCCTGTCTTGTGAGAAAGCTTTCCCTTGTTGCAGAGCATTCTCTCATCAAGACAGAGGGAGAGGGGTGCCTTGCCCAGCCCAAGGAGTTTTGTCCTTGGCTGGCCCCAAGGACCCTTCCTCCTGCCAGACTCCCAAGATCCATACCTCTGTCATCTCTTTCCCTGTCTGGTATACTCCCTGTACTTCCCATCCATAACTCCCAAAGACAACTGGACCTTTGGATTACCTAATTAGTATCCCTGGCATTCCTTTCCCATGCCCTTTTCCATATAAACCCTAGCTCCATCCTCAGTCTTTTGCAGGCTCCTTAAGAATCCTTGCCCGTTGAAAAGCATAACAATAAATCTTTGCCACCTTGACTTAAAGAATGCTTGAATCTGTGAATTCATTCCAGACGACCCCGTCCTGTACGTCAGTCTTTGAGGGGTCTCAACCTCTCAGACCGCAACAGAATGGGCCGAGATAAAGGACTTCAGCTGGATTCCACAAGGCAAAGGAGAAGAGAGAGATAATCCCAGGGGTGATGTGGTCAGACCCATGCTAACTGTGTAGAAAATAGGCTAGAGAAGGGAGATCAATGAGAAGGAAAACAATTAGAAGGCTATTGGGATAGGCCAAATGAGAGATGCTGAGAGCCTTAATGAGGGTGGTTGGGGTGTAAATGGAGAAGAGACATGCAAGAGATGTTGGGCAAGTATAGTCAATAAGAACTGGCAACTGATGGGGCATGGCTAGAGACAGAAGGTAGCGGACTCTACTGCTGAAGACAGAGAGGAGGTATGCCTAGATCTGTATTTTATGAAGATTGTTTTGACTAGCTGTGTGACCCTGGGCAAGTCACTTAACCAACATTGCCTAGCCAAAAAAAAAATTATTTTGAAACTCTTTAGAGTTGGGTAATGTCAATATTTCCATTTTGTTGTTGTTGTTCAGTTGTTTTTCAGTCTTGTCTGACTCTTTGTGACACCATTTGGGCTTTCCTTGGCAGAGATACTGGAATGGTTTGTCATTTCCTTTTCCAGCTCATGTTACAGATGAGGAAACTGAGGCAAACAGGGTTTAGTGACTTGCCCAGGGTCACACAGCTAGTAAGTGTCTGAGGCCAG